TCAACCATGCACCTCATCCGCGCGATCGCCTTCGCGGCGGCGGCGGCGGCGGGGCGCGTCACGCTGGACACGCCCGCCGGCAGGCCCGCCGGCAAGCCCGCCGGCAAGCCCGCCGGCAAGCCAGCCGGCAAGCCCGCCGGCAGGCCCGCCGGCAAGCCCGCCGGCAAGCCCTCCGGCAAGCCCGCCGGCAGGCCCGCCGGCAAGCCCGCCGGCAAGCGAGACATGTCGAACACGTCATGGTGGCGCCTCGCGCTGGCGGCGCCGGCGATCTCGCCCGACTTTGCCCTCGTGTCGAAGCACGTCTGCGAGCGCGGATCGACGTTTGCTCCATCCGACTTGAATCACTACTTTCCGAGCAAGTGTCGAAAAAAAATTCATCACACACACACTCCAACCGACGGCCTCGGCCACGTCGGACGCGCCGTCGTCGAAAAGATCGCCGACCGCCGCGGGCCGCCGGGCGCGCGCTACTTCCAGGAGTACGTGGGTCACAGTGGCGCCTACCTGCGCGACGTCGACGGCCTCTACGACGGCTTCGCACCGTCGCTCTACTGCCACGAACGAGATTGGGTCAGGTCACAGTGTAAACTGTGCCGCTGGCCCACGGGCGACGCGGTGTTCCGGGACCACTTCGAGTGCTTCGTCGCGCCGCCGTTCGACGAGTGGTTCGGCTTCGACGCGCTCCCGCCGGCGGACGACCCCGCGTGGGGGAGGCGCGCGGTCGCCGAGACCTACGCGGCCGTCGACCGCGACGCCTTCGTCGACTGCGGCGCGGCCGACGGCGAGCTCCGCGTCGTCGTCCACGTGCGCCTCGGCGACCTGATCCACCCCGACCTGTCCGCGAACGCCTCCGCCGAGGTGACCCTCATCGAGATGAGGAGCGAGGACGGGCACCTGCGGAACGCGCTCCGCGTCGTCGCGGCGTTGCGAGCGCGGCTCCCGGGGCGCCGCGTCCACGCGCTCATCCTGAGCGACTCGCCGCCGGAGACCGTCGCCGCGACCCTCGAGGGTTTCGACGTCGGGATACGCGTCGGCGGCGCGCGGCGCGACGGCGCGTCGCACCTCGTCGACGGCCGCACGGTCGGCCTCGAAACCGACTTCGACGTGAGCTTCCACGGCGCGGGCCACCCGCTCGTCGCGCTCCACTGCATGGCGGCCGCGGACCTGTTCCTCTGGGACGAGAAGTGCGGCGACCCCCGGCCAACAAAAAAAAAGAAAAAAGGCGAAAAAAAAGAAAAAAAAGAAAAAAGGTGGCGTGATCGACTGGGACGACTTGTCGCGGGGGGGCGGGCCGAATGCGAATTTCGAGCGGTCAGCCACATGGTCTTGTTCGCGAGCGAGCTGTCGCTGCGGGGCGTATTCCGCGGACTTCCGGTGGAGCCGCTCGACGCGACGGCCGTCGACGCCGGCGTCGAGGCGCTCCTCGGCAGCGGCGCGCTCGTTTGATTCCGCCGGCGTGGCGCCCGCGAGGGCCGCGGTCGCCGCGGTCGCCGCGGCCCTCGCGCGGCGCGCCCGCCTAAATCCTCTAGGGCTGGAGTCCCACTTGCGTGCTGCAATTTGAACTCACTGATGACCTGATCTCGAGGCCTCGTAGAGCATGCGAGCGCGGCTCAAGGCGCAGCGGCGGACATGATGCGAGAGGATCGCGGTGCCGCGGCGGACGTGACGCGCGAGGATCACTCGGCGGAGCGCATCAACGACGCGACGCGTCGCGAGGACGCGCCGGCGCTGCGCGCGCTGCTCGACGGCGCGTCGCCGTTCCTGCTCGAGCTCGCGCTCCTCGTCTCGGCCGAGGTCGGCTGGGTCGAGGGCCTCGAGGTCGCCGCGGCGGCCGGCGGCGACGCGGCCGGCGCGTCGCACGCGAGCGGCAACCGCTGCGCGCACACGGCGGCGCGCCTCGGCCACGTCCGCTACCTCGAGGCGCTCCGCGGCGTCGACCCGGGCCTCGCCGGTGCCCGGAACGCCGCGGGCCAGACGCCGCTGCACTACGCGTGCGTCGCCGCGGAGGCGGACGCGGCGGCGCGGCTGCTGGCGTGGGGCGCGGACGCGGACGCGGCGACGGCCGGGGCAGCACGAGGGAGCGACATTCCCAACTTCAAAGGCTCATATCTCGGCCATTTTCCACTCGTTTCGGCTGATTTTTGGACGAGCGATCATCTCTCGGAACGGCCTCGACGCGTGGATGCTTTTTCCGGAACGCGCGCGCGCGGAACACTCACGTTGAAGCGACGTTGAATCACTCTCGTGCTGCCCAGGCGACGGCCGAGGGGCTCACGCCGCTCTCGCTCGCGTGCCGCGCCGGCGCGGCCGACTGCGCGGCGCTGCTCCTCGCCGCCGGCGCGGCGCCCGTCGACGAGGCCCTGGCGGCGGACGACGCGACGCGGGCCGCGCTGGCGGAGGCCCGGCGGCGGCGGACCGCGGCGGCCGCCGAGGCCGCGGACCGCGCGGCCGCGGAGCTCCTCGCCGCGGAGGCCGGCGCGCCGGCCGCCGCGCCGCCGGCCCCCGCGCCGAAGCGGAAGAAGAAGAAGGCGCGGGAGAAGGCGCGGCCGCCCGCGGCGCCGCCCGCGGCCGCGGCGGCCGCGGCGCGCGCGCCGCCGCCCGCGCGCGCGGCCGCGCCGGACGACGACGCGGGCGCGCCGTGGAACGTCGTCGCCGCCCGGGGCCACCGCATCCACCTCGGCCGCGAAGGCGCCCCCCGGCGGGAGACGGCCGCGGAGGCGGCGCCGCCGCCGCCGGAGCCCGCGGCGGCGCCGCCGCCGCCGCGCGAGGCCCAGGCGCTCCTCGAGGCCCTCTACCCGTCGGCGGGGTCGCTCGCGCTCTCGCCGAGCGACCTCCTGCTCCCGTCCGAGGACCTCAGCGCGTCGCAGCTCGAGATGCTCCACGACATCCTCGACTCGTGCACGCGGCGCGTCATCGACTGCCGCGTCGCGCTCGCCGCGCGGCAGCGCGCGAGCGACCCGCCGCCGTAAGCCTCTTTTACACGAACACGTTCGTCGCGTCCGACGGCCGCTCGGCGACGGACTCCGCGCGGCCGAAGCCCGCGAACGCGTCCGCGTCCGCGCCGTCGCCGCCGCCGTCGTACGCGAAGAGGTCCGCGATGGACGGGTCGAGCTCGTCGTCGTCCATCTTCGCGCACTCCGTGATGACCGCCGCGATGGACGCGAGCGGGCCCGGCTCGCGGTCGAGCGCGGCGAAGTCGAGCGTGCACCACCTGGGCAGGAAAAGGGTGCGACATTCCCAACTTTGGAGGCTCCTATCTCGGCCATTTTCCACTCGTTTCGGCTGATTTTGGGACGAGCGATCATCCCTCGGAGCGCTCTCGACGCGTGGATGCTTTTTTCCGGAACGCGCGCGCGCGGAACACTCACGTTGAAGCGAACTTGAATCACCCTTGTCCTGCCCCGCGCGCCACCACCGCGAGTCGGGCGCCTTCGCCGCCGCGAGCCGCCGGCCGGGGTCCTTCTCGAGCAGGTGGGCCAGCGTCGTCGCACAGTCCTCGTCGACGTCCCCGGGCGCGGGCGCGGGCTCCGGCCCCGCGATCCTCGCGAAGGTCTCGCGCGCGGTGGGCGCGCGGAACGGCGGCGCGCCCGCGAGCATCTCGTGCAGCAGGCAGCCCAGGGCCCAGCAGTCGACGGCGCCGCCGTAGGTCTCGCGCGACTTGAGGAGGAGCTCCGGCGCGGCGTAGTTCACCGTGCCCGCGAAGGACCGCTTCCTGACGACGCCGCCGGGCCGGCCGACGCGCGTCGCGAGGCCGAAGTCGGAGAGCGCGACGTGGCCCGCGGCGTCGACGAGCACGTTCGACGGCTTCAGGTCCCGGTGGAGCACGCAGAGCTCGTGGACGCGGCCCAGGGCCGCCGCGAGCTCCGCGCCGACGCGGCGCGCGGCCGCGCGCGCGTCCTTGCGCCGGAACGCGCGGCTCTCGAGCACCGCGTCGAGGCTCCCCGCGGGGTAGTAGTCCATGGCGAGGAAGAGCTTCGACGGCGTCTGGAAGGCAAAGCGCAGCTTCGCGACGAAGGCGCACTTGCGGTGGGCCAGCGCCTGTGTGGAATTCAACCGCCGGTTTGGGCGGTCCTGACCAAACTTGAGAATGCTCTCGCTCGATCACATCGAAGTCGATTCGGCTGATGTTTGGACGAACTGATCGCTCTCGTCGAGTTCTCGAAACCCAGCCGAAGAGCTTGCGTCGAAACTGTCGCATACGCTCACATTGAAGTCGGATTGAAGATGTCCACACGGGCCAGCGCGTCGAGGACGTCGCGCTCGACGCGCGCGAGCGCGGCCGCGCGGCTGCCGACGAGCAGCGCCTTCTCCACGACCTTGATGGCGACCTGGACCCGGGGGATCTGCGTTTGCGGCGCGGCCCGCAGGCCCGTGCGCGGCGACGGCGGCGGCCGCCGCTCCGCGAGCGCGACGACGCCGAACGCGCCGCGCCCGAGGAGGCGCCGCGGCGCGAAGTCGTCGGGCCGGAAGGGCTGGGCCGACATGGCGCGCGCGCGGCGCGGCGCCGCCGCGGTCAGGGCCGTGGGCGACGGCGGCGGCGGCGGGATGGCCCAGGTGCTCCGCGGCGGCGCGGTCCGCGGCGGGCCCGGCGACCCGTCGCGGAACGACGGCCGCGACCGGCGGAAGCGCGGCGTCAGCGACACGCGCCGCGCCGCCGCCGAGGAGACGCGCTTCGCCGCCGCCGCCAGGTCGCGGATGCGGTTCCTCCGCGGCGGCGGCGGCCGCGCCGCGCCGACGCCGAGGAGCCGCGTCGCCTTCCGGCCGCTCGTCGCGGAGTCGCGCTCGCCGTTGCGGTTCGCCAGCGCGTCGAGGGGCTCGGTGCCCAGCGCCGCGACGGCCGCGTCGAGGTCGCCCGTGAGGCGGCCGGCCTTGGCCGCGGCCTGCGCGCGCCTCCGCGCGTGCTCCGCCTCGGACGCGCGCTCGCCGAATTTCGTCTCCTCGCAGCCGTCCATTTCGTCGTCGCGCCGCTCGACCTCGGGCAGGCCGAAGGGGTCGCAGTCCTCGTCGAGGGTCTCCGGCGCGATGCGCACGGCGCCCGTCTCCGTGACCGCCGCGGCCGCGCGCGCGACCGGCGACGCCGGAGACGCGGGCGTCCGCGGCGGGTCGAGCGCGGGCGCCCGCGGCGAGGCGAGGGGGCCGCGGCTCCGCCGCGGGCGACGCGGCGTCCGGCGGCGCCGCGCGCGCCTCGACGGCGCGCTGGAGCGCCGCGCACGCGCCGCGCGCGGCCGCGCGCGCGATGTCGGTCCGCCGCGGCGCCGTCGCCGTCCGCCGCGGCGCCGTCGCCGTCCGCCGCGGCGCCGTCGCCGTCCGCCGCGGCGCCGTCGCCGTCCGCCGCGGCGCCGCGCCGCGGCGCCGCCGCCTCGGCGAGCGCGGCGCCGAAGGCGCGCGCCTTGGCCACGTCCCCGAAGCGGATGCCCAGCACCGCGCCGTCGTCGCCGCCGCCGCACGCGAGCTCGCCGAACGACGACGCGTCCGTGCCCGGCGCGGCGTCGGGCGCCTCGTCGTCGTGGAGCGCCAGGGCGAAGTCGTCCCCGAGCGCGTAGGCGACGGCGAGCGCCCGCGTCGCCGACGCCGGGTCGAGCGCCGCGACGCGGAGGCCCGCGGCGCCGCGGAGCGCGTAGAGCGTCGTCCACGCGCCGCCGGCGAGCGGGCGCCAGGCCTCGCCGTCGAGCGCGTAGGCGCAGACCTGCGCCGCCGCGACGACCTTCTCGCCGCCGGCGGACACGCCCTCGGGCGCCGACGCGCTCGACCGCCGCGGCGCGCCCGCGTCCTCCTCCTCGGCCTCGTCGGACGCGCCGTCGTCGCTCTCGTCGGCCCACTCGATGGACTCCTGGGACGCGAGCCACGCCTCGTCGTCGCCGATGCTCGACTCGAAGGCCAGCGTCGGGGAGGCCATCCTCTGGGACGCCCGCGCGAGCACCGGGAGGGCGTCGAAGCAATAGGCGCGAAATCAATTTTGTGCTTGATGCAGCACTACGTTGATGTCATGTTGAACGCATTTTACCAAGAGCGGACGAGGGCACGCCGTCGGCCGTGACGCCGCCGTGGGGCGGCTCCGTCGCGCCCGGGAGGAGCACGTGCCGGCTCGGCAGCAGGAGGCGCTCGAGCGTGCCCGGCGGCCGCGGCGTCACGTCGAAGCCGAGGCTCGACACGTCGAGCCACGCCGCTCGAGGTCTTCGTCGCCCTCCTCGTAAACCATCGTCGAGAAGGTAGCGGTTAACTCGAGCGCCTAAAGCGACGACGATCACGTGCACATCGGACGCGTGCGCGAGCCGTCGAACGCGGGAACGCGGGAACGAGGCGTGGGCGGCGAGACGAGGTCTCGAGAGCGGATGTGGGGCCCTTCACCGCCCCGCGGCGTGCTGCGAGGCGCTCTCGCACCCCTGACACCGAGGACGAGGCGTTCCCGCGCACTGACCCCGTGAAGAGTGGCACTGGGAGCTGCCGGAGTCGCTGCACGGGACGAGTATTCCTCGTCGGAACAGACTCCGTTCCGTCGGGGTCAGGGCCGCAAGAGTTCGCGCGCGCGTGATGGACGGCGACGAGATGTTGAAGTCGAATACGATCAGGCGCGGTGCGTTCGAGGGACTCGGGCGCGCACGCCCTGGAGGAGGTCGCATACTTTGGCCGCCGCTCCGACACCGTCGCACAGACCTTGCCGTCATTTCGTCGCGCCGTGTCGAACGCGCCGTGTCGCCGCGCGTCCGCATCCAGCGCGAACCGCGTCACGGTCGCCCGTGAGGGCGCGGACCGGTCCCGCGGCTCCTCGGGTCGCGTCCTCGCCGTCGGCGGGCGCCGGCGCCTTCGAGTCGCGGCGGGCGTCGCCGGCGCCTTCGCGTCGCGGCGGGCGTCGCCGGCGCCTTCGCGTCGCGGCGGGCGTCGCCGGCGCCTTCGCGTCGCGGCGGGCGTCGAGCGCCCGGACCGCGAGGACCAGGGGTCCTTCCGGGGCACGGCCTACGCCGGAGGCGCGCGCCGCGGTCCGCGCCGACCTACGAGTTCGACGAGTCGCGGTCCGGCGCTTCGACGGCGCGGGTCGAGCGGTCGAGCGGTCGAATCGACGTGTCGTAGGGGTCCTTCTGGGGCAAGGACTGCATTCGACGATGACCCCGTGGTTGAGCAACCACGGCGTCGGCAGCCCGCCGGCAGCCCGATGAGCCCCACACGTGTGTGTGGGCGGGCTTGTGGTCCGTCCCGGACCCCGCGGTTGTTTGAAGTGTGTTCGTGTGGGACGCTGGTAGCTTGCATGGCGGCGGGCAGCAGCTGCCCATGCGCGCCACGTCGCTGCGCCCTCTCCGCCAGCTCGGTCGAGTTTCAGCAACAACACTGCAAGTTTCGCATGCTGCAGTCAGGGCCCTCAGCGCTGCCGCTGCCTGCCTCGCCGGAGGCAGGGCATGCTGTTTGCCAGGCGCAAGCGCCTTCGCAAGCGCATCTGGGCGTTCGACGTCGCGTACGGCCCCGAGCGCACGAAGACGCTGAGCGGCTATCGGTGTTGGCTGATGAAGATGTGCGGGAGGCGCCGCCGAGAAGGGGACGAATGTAAGTGGTGGCGGAAAATGATCCAGACCTTCATCCTGGTGCTGCTGTTCTGGGAGCACCGCGGCGACATCGACACGGAGGGTTGGACGAAGTTCTACGACCCGGACTTCGCCGTGACGCTCGCCGCTGCCTGCTCACATTCGACGCAGACACGCGCTGTCAAGAAACGCCTCGACCTGGTCGTCTGCCACAGGGAGTGGAGCTGCAGCTACGCTCAGCTGAGCGCCTTCGTGGACTCCTGCGGCGCGCTCCTCGTCGCGCTCAAGACCGGCGCCGTGCGCGAGGACGACCCGCTGGTAAAGGAGGCGCGGACGCTCGAGGCGCTCGGGCTGATCTCCGTCGAGTTGCTCGACTCGTCCTGGGTCGTCGTCGACGGCGACCTCGTCCTCCTCGTGAACCACATCCTCTCCCTCTCGCAGGGCCACCAGTGCCGCATGACGGCCGAGTGCTTCCTCCTCCTCTCACAGTTCTTCGTCCTCGGCGACGGCGACCTGCGCGCGGATCTACACGCGCATCACCGGACGATTCACGCTGTATGCCTATTTGGCAAGATATCCATGCGGTACATGCTCCACCTCGACCATTTCTTCCAGAGCTACAAGGACGCCGCGCTGGCGGACATGCTTATCTTCGTGGAGCTCCTCCGGAAGGCCTCGCGCATCCCCTCCTCCGTCTAAAGGCCCGGGCCCGCCCGCGTGAAGTCTCGCCTACCTTAGTGACGAGGTCGAGCGCGAGCCCGTCGTCGAGAACCGATGCGTGCACTCGAGGTCCGCGTCCGACGGCTCCTGCGGCGGCGGCTCTGGCGGCGGCAACTCGGGGTGCGGCGGGCGGCGCGTGCCGATCTCCGACTCGTCGTCGTCCGTCTGCGGCGCCGGCGCCGGCGCCGGCGCTGGCTCGTCGTCGTACTAGTAGTCCACTGGGACTCCGGCTCCGGCTCCTCGGACAGCCGGCGCACGCGCTCGACGGCCTCCTCCTCCTCGGCGGCCTCGCGGCGGCGCTGCTCGTCGGCGACAAGCGACTGGCAGCTGAGGGCCAGCGCCGCCTGCAGCCCCGCGTCCTGCTCGTCGAAGTCCTCCGCGCCCGCGTCGACGGCCTGCGGCGGCGGCTCCTCGTCTTCTTCCCCGTCCTCGCCGTCGTCGAAGTCCTCCTCCGTCGCGCCCTCGGGGACGTCGATGGGCACGACCACGCGGGGCGACGCCGCCTCGTCGTCGCCCGTAGGACCGCAGCTCCCGCGTGGCGTTCGACGGAACGCCGCAACGTGTCGTCGGCCACGCCTTCGGCCGCGCGCGGGGCCGTGTCACGGCCTCGGCCGACGAATGTGAGCACTTGGCGCAGCTATGAGCATCGTAGATAGACCGTCGAGACGGTTGGAGTTCCTCGGCGACCGCCGGGCGCGCCCAGCTGCACGCTTCTCGCCGGGCTCCGACAGACCGTCCAAGACCGTGCTCTTCGTCGCGCGCACGCCTTTCTGGGCAACCAAAAGCAGCGCGCGGCTACAGAGGGACCAACAGGCGCGGACCGGACCGGAAAAAGTGGTGCAAGCGGCGCCGGACCACCTCGGCGCGGCTCGGAGCGCGGCTCGACGCGCTGCCACAGCATGCTGCAGGCAGCTTCGGCGAAGCGCTCCGTGATGGGGCAGCCTTGCAGCCGCGAGGACGTGCGGCTGGCCGTGATGCACGCGGAGGTCCGGCACGAAGCCAAGCGCCTCCATCGCGCACAAACGAGCGACACCCGGATGACGTTCCTCGACACGCGCGTTTTCTCAGGAAAAGCGCAGCAGGCGTCATTCGATGCTGTCGCCGATTTGATGCAGCGCTGCGCCGCGTCTGGGCGCGCTACGCGCGGCGCGACGCGCGCGCACAAACCGTAGGCAGCGCGACGCGACGAATCGACTATTCGACTTGCTCGACCGGGACCAAACCGGCGTCTACCAATCTAAGTACCGCATGTACGTAGTTGTGCGCTCGGGCGGCGACCCGGCGACCTTCGTCGTGTTCACCTCCACCACTCCCTCGGGGCGCTCCTCCTGCTGGGCGAGGGCGAGGAGCCCCTCCTCTTCCCCACCCTCGACCATCGCTTCCTCGCACCGATGCGCCCCGAGTTGAATCGGTCAAAAACGCCACTGGTGCGCCCACCCCCACCCCTCATCATACCTTTCACCACATCCCTCCCTCATAGGTCTGAACTCCTACGACTCTACGCTGAACAGAATTTTCTTTTCGGGCTACGACGGCGAGGACGTCGACCTGTTCCGCGTCGCATGCGAGGCCCAGGTCAAGGCCGAACTCCAAGCAGGCCGAGCTGTAGCGCCCGTTGACGCGCTCTACATAAGGTCACCAAGTACTACAAGGATTGCACACCGAGCAGTGAACTGGTCGAGAGTATCAACGCTACGATGCCGGATCAAATTAAGAGGTCAGATGTGGACTTGGATCGACTTGCTTCGGGTCTTGCTTCGGAGCTGGATAAAGAGTTCGAGAATGACGATGATGGCATGGATGGGATGAATGCTCTTATGGATGATTCGCAAGCCCCGGCACCTGCTACACGAACTTCTCCGACTCCTGCTGTGACTTCTGACTCGCCTGTGCCTCCTTCGTATATGCCTCCGTACGCTAATCCGAGCATCATCTCAAATTCCAATCAATTCTTCAGTGGAGCTCCAATGCATGCCCATCAAGCCATGCCTTTGACTCCACTGCCCATGTACCATCATCCCATGCATTCCATGCCCCATCAATCCATGCCTCAGATGCACCATGCACCTCCTGCGACTCCGAGGGGCAATACTGGGAACTTGATCGCAAAGATTTCGGAACTGAATGATCTCCTGACGGCCCGGGCTATTACCCAGAGCGAATTCGATACTCTCAAACGAAATTTGCTGTCGTCTCCGCGATGATGGCGCATCTGGGACGTGCTCCGATTCTGCGATCCTGTTCTGCCAGGATCTGCCCCGACGCCTCCCTACTTCTTAACTATCTTATCGTACTCTTCGTTCTGTACTCCCTACTCCTCTGTACTCCTAAAAGTATAGTCCGGATTTCTATGGGGCATACTGTACTCCGGGTTACTCCACTCAGATGGGTGCGGTCAGAGCAGGGAGGGTGGGTTCAGGCCACCTCCTACGCGTACGGCGACGGTCGCCGAGGCCAGCTTCGCGCCCACCAAAAGGGGGGCGTCGACGGCCTGCAAGAGGCCATTGCCGGCCTTCAAGTTGCCGTCGAAGCCGACGCCCGAGAGCGCACGCGACGCGCGCACGACCGAGAGATCGGCGAGGACGTGACCGCACCCGCGCGAAACTGGTGGATGAAGGTCAAAACGCCGAAGCCCCCGCCGAAGCGCCCCGCGCCGAACGAGAGCGCGGCGCCGGCGGAGAAGCGGCGCGGGCCGCGCCGAGGCCTACGAGAACCGATACGCCCGGCTCGCGCGCCTCGGCGCGGCGCGCCTCGGCAAGCTGCTGCCCGCGGAAGCCGCCGCCTCTCCGACGACTTCTCCGTCGTCGGCGTTCACGCCGCCGACAGCCCCTTGGTCAAGGTCGTCCTCGCGTACGTCGACGTCGACGACTTCGAGGACTCCTCGCCCTTGGCCGCGGCGCGGTACCTCGTGCGCCCCGGCGGCCCGCCGGTCCCGGAGCACGTCGCGGCCGCGTGCCGCGTCTTGATCGGCGGATCGAACAGCGCGGCGAAGCGGGCGGCGAAGCGGGTCCTCGAGTCCGCGGCCGAGGGCGAGGAGTCGCTCGCCGACGCCGCGCGGCGCCTCGCCGACGGCGGCGAGCTCGACGCGTTGGAAACGACGGCGTGCGCCTGGGCCGCGGAGAACCCGCTCGTCGCGAGCGCGGCGCCGTCGACGGCGACGTTCGAGCGCCGGCGCGCGGGCGAGGTCCAGGCCGCCCGCGCGGCCGCGGTCAAGGAGAAGCCGCCCTACCAGACGCAGACACGAAGCGACAGGTTCCAGGCGAGCTTCAAGTGGACGAGCGATCCCAGGCTGGAGAGCCGCATGATCTGCGTCGGCACCTGGGACACGCCCGAGGAGGCCGCCACGGCCGTCCACTGCGCCCTGCTCCGCATCGAGGAGCCCGACAAGTACGCCAATCTGCTTAAGCACCCCTGCGTCGCCAAGCTCAACCTCTCCGAGACGACGACGCACTCGGAGAAAGTCCACCGCATCGTCGACAAGGCCTTCACGAAGCGCCGCAAGGAAGACGCGAAGGCCATCGCGGCCCTCGCGGCTCAGTCGGCGGGCGCGGCTCCGTCGGCGCAGGACAAGCCGCCGGAGTGCGACAGCAAGCGCAAGTGCCTCAGCCTCATCCAGAAGTGCGAGCCCGTCTTCAACCGCAAGCGCAAAGGCGACGCGAGCAGCCTGCCGCAGGACTACTGCGTGTTGTGCGCCGCGCGCAACGCGGCGAACAAGTCGGCAAGTACCGCGCGCCGCAACAAGCACAAGGCCCGGGCCTAGGGCGCGCGCGTCCGATTAAGAGCTCCTGATGCACACCAAGCGGGGACCGTGAAGTTCGCTCGAGTCCGTTAGGCCTCCCCGTGGTCGACGGTGATGACGGGCGCGTCGCCGCCCTCGCCCCAGGTGGCGCCGCGGAGGCGCGCGAGGAGCGGCGCGCCGAGCGCGGACGCGGGCGTGAGCACGCCCGGCGCGGCGGCCGCGCCCTCCGCGAGCGCGACGGCCGTCTCGACGAGGAAGACGGTCGTCGAGATGCAGGACGGGTCGCCGGCGCCGTTCCAGCGCGTCACCGTCGTCTCGCCGTTCGCGCCCGTGGTCACGAAGGACATGGCGTAGGACCCGCGGAGCATCTTCGCGCGCGACGGGCCCGCGCCCGACTCCGGAAGCATGCCCCGCGACCGCAGGAGGTTCCGCGTCGGCGCGAAGCGGAGCATGGCCCCGCCGACGCCCAGCGCCGCGGCGTTGGTCACCGCGGCCTTGAGCGACGGGAGCGCCATGGACTCGGAGTAGATCAGGCCGTCCGCGTAGTTCAGCGCCGCGTTCGACCGCCGCACGACGGGGCAGTTCGCGCCGGCCATGATGAACGGCGACAAATGGCGCGTCGTCCCGCCCAAGGCGACCGTGCCGAAGGGCCGGCCCTTGGCCCAGTCGATCTTCGTCTTCGCGACGCCCTCGAGGGACGGCGTCGGCGGCCTCGGCGTCGGGTTCGTGATCTCGTTGACGACCGTGTCGATGGTGCCGCCCTGGAACGCGCCGCGCATCTTCGTGACGTAGTTGTCGACGCGCGTCGGCGCGGCGCCGTGGACGTCGACGTGGCGCCGCACGGCGAGCTGGCAGCCGAGGTCCGAGGGGACCGAGTCGAAGCCCGAAGCCGGCACCAGGGTCGCGCCGGACGCTTTCGCGGCGCCGTCGTGCTCGTGGGCCATCAAAGCGATCCACTGGGCCTCGCCCGTGATGTCGCAGTAGTGCGTGCCGCCCGCGGCGCACGCGCCGAAGAGCGGCGAGCCGAACTTCGCGTAGGGCCCCGCGGTCGACGCGACGACCGTCGCGGCCGCGGCGACGCGCGCGACGTCGGCGGCGTCGGCCGCGTCGGCGACGATGACGTCGGCGTCGCTGTCGAGCGACGCTTTCAGCGCCTCGAGCTTCGCCGCGTCGCGGCCGGCGAAGGCGATGCGCTTCGACGGGTGGGCACGCAGGGCGTACTCGGCGGCGAGCCGGCCGGCGAAGCCCGTCGCGCCGAAGAGCACGATGTCGTAGTCGCGCGTCGTCGAGAAGCGGCGCGCGCCGCGCATCGCTGCGGTCGCGGCGCGCATGGTCGCCGTCGCGAGGGCCATGGGCACGTGCGCTCGCTGCCACGACGTCGCACTGCGGCACCGGAGAGCTTGAGAGGCTGGGGGAAAGATGCAGTCCATGTTGCACATCATATATCTCCGGGGCAGCCTCCGGACGGCGCCCGCGTTGCAAAGCTCTCCGTGCGCTCGAGCGCTGCCCGCGCCCTGTTGCGGTGCGCGCCGGGGGGTAGTCGACAACCATGGGCGCGTCGCTGTCGCAGCCGACGCAGCACCTGCCGGGTGACGTGCTGGCCAACATCAAACGGTCCAAGGACCGGGACTACCGGTTCCGCATGGCCCTGAGCTGCCACCAGCGCTTCTACAAGCACTTCGACCCGGCGAAGTTGGTGCTGAACCGCACGGAGTTCTGCGCCGTCTTCGCGCCGGCCTACGGCGACCCGGCGCTCCACTTCGCGCACCTCGACGCGCACGGCCGCGGCCGCGTGTCCTCCTTCGAGGCGCTCGCGGGCGCGTACCTCGTCGCGCGGAACTGGGACGACAGCAGCGAGAAGCTGCTGGTGACGGCGCTCTTCCAGGTCTTCGACCGGTCCCTCATCGGTACCTTAAGCCGCGTGGAGATGGAGATCATGCTGCGGACGTGCGCGCAGGCGTTGACGACGTTGTACCGCTGCAAGCCCGTCGCCGACTACGTATTACGGGCCGTGGTCCGCGACGTCTTCGGGGGCAAGCAGAAGACGTCCGGCGGGCGGCTGTCGACGTCCCACGAGCGCGCGTCCCTCGTGGAGCTGCTGCGCTGGTTCCGGGGGCCCGCGAACACCACGGTCATGGGTTTTCTCTCGACCTTCGACAAAACGGACCTCGAGGGCGACCCCCGGTCGCCGGCGAAGGGGCGGTCCCCGAGCCCGGAGCGCGACATCGCGCGGGCGCGGCCCCGGGGGGTTGCGACGCCCGAGGAGGACGAGGCGCCGCCCGCGGTCGCGTCGACGCCGAAGAAGCGCGCGCCCGCGGCGGTCCGCGAGGCGCCCGCGGTCCCGCGCGCGGCGGCGCCCGCGCCCGCGCCCGTCGTTTTGGCGGTCGCCGTCGCCGCGGCGCCCCCGGAGGAGGAGGCGCCGCCCGCGGCGGTCGGCGTCGGCGTCGTCGTCGCCGCGGCGCCCCCGGAGGAGGCGCCGCCGGAGGAGGAGGAGGTGCCGGAGGAGGAGGAGGCGCCGCCCGCGGCGGTCGGCGCCGGCGTCGGCGTCGTCGTCGGCGTGATGGATTCGACCGAGTTGGGCACCGTTCGAGACGGCCCGGCGCCCGGGGAGATCGCCGCGGAGGCCTCGGCGAAGACGGACCTCGCGTGGTCCTTCGTCCTCGGCGTCAAGAAGGGCGCCTTCGACGCGACCCTCGACGCGCTCGTCGAAGCTCAAGCCGCCGAGGAGGCCGCGGCCCTCGAGGCCGCGAAGGCGCGGGACGCGGCGTCCGCGAAGCTCCAGGCGAGGATGCGCGGCAAGAACCAGCGCGAGGCCAAGGCGAAGCAGGACAAGGGCGCGGCCCAGCTCCAGGCGCGCATGCGCGCCAAGGCCGCGCGCGCGGACCTCGAGAAGAAGCAGCAGGGCGCGGGCAAGCTCCAGGCGCAGATCCGGTCCAAGCAGGCGCGCGCGGACCTCGAGCGGAAGCAGGCGGGCGCGTCGAAGCTCCAGGCCAAGCAGCGGAGCCGCCTCGCGCGGCGGGAGATCGAGGAGAAGCACGTCGCCGCGACGAAGCTCCAGTCCAGGGAGCGGAGCCGCCTCGCGCGCCGCGAGATGGACGTGAAGCACGATTCCGCGACGATGCTCCAGTCCGCGCAGCGCGCGCGGAGCGCGCGCCGCGCAGGCCCCTGCATCGGCCACGGCCGGCGCCTCTACCAGGTCATGGACCGCGGCGGCAAGAAGGTCCTGGGCATCGACGAGATCGTCGAGTGCGTCACGAACCGGCCCGAGTGCGTCTTCTTCCTCAAGGGCTGCGACAACGATTTGCTCCGCGACCTCCTCGCGGCGCCGGACCTCGCCTCCAAGCTCGCGGAGCGGCCCCTGGCGACGCCGGGCTTCGTCACGGCCGACGAGTTCGACCAGGCCATCCACGCGTGGGCGCGGCGGCCGACGATGGCCGCGCTG